GCTCAACTGCCGTCCGGATCATCAAAACCCCCAGGAGACCAGGAACAACTCCAAAATCTCATCTCGCAAGCAACTACAGAAATCCGCAAAGGCTTCCAACCGGAGATCGATGCGTTGAATCGCGCGGTTCGGCGCTACGAGAAACGCACAGCGCTCACTTCATTTCAGACGGAGGCAAAATTCCAAGCTCTCGAAACCCAAGTGCATGATGCTATTGCTCTGGCGGCAGCGGCGCAACGCTCCGGCTCGTGTCGGCCGCTGGGTGCTCTATCGGGATTGTTCAATAGCATATATGCAATTATCCTGCTCCCCGCGCAAATCTTCATGTCCCTAGCACGCCTCCCGTTTCAGCTATCAACGCGATGTCTACAATATTGCAAAGACATGCTGCTCTCGAAGCCACCACGGAGATCGAGCAAGGGTAAGGTGCCGCGAGATGTCAGACCTTCGTCAAGGCAGTTCAGAAGGACTCCCCAACAGGACCTGGGCGGTGGTCCAGCGCTCAAACCAATTCGGGAGTATCAATAGCAAATGGAAGTGTGATAGTTTTGACTATGATTTCGGAAAGTATAGCATCATGATACAAGTTTGGCTTCACAGCCATCGGGTGTGATTCCGGCGTTTATCCATTCACTGGTCAATATGGACCAATGTTGTTGTTTTGTTGTTCTTTGTCTTTGTCTTCGTCAGCATCTGTGATCTGTACTGGGGTTGGAGGTTCTTTCAATACATCTGGACAGGTGATGGCGTCCTGTGAAGAGCATCCTCTGTTTACTTTGTCTTGGTATTCAGCGGTTTTAACTCAAGCTACGCGTAATCCTAGTGATAAAGTGACAATATGTCTATTGACTCAATGATCCCAGCCTTGCGTCTCGCAATGCGCAAACCAAAATGCCACCGCACGACGATTATATAATCTAACAATGTACTGAAAAGAAGACATGAGAGCAGACGTGATATACAGAGAACAGACCGCCCAGCTCTATCAGTAAGACACAAGAACCTCCTATCCGAAGCGCGAATCGCGCGACAGACGTGTTTGAGCAAAGTAAGAAAAGTCTATATAGGGGTGGGTGGTTACGGAGCACCACCCGATGGACCCATGTTATCAACCCCAACCGTCTTCAGGAACGGCTCGATAATACTTCGTTTTCTTTCCTCGAGGGCTCGCCGCTCCTTGTCCTTGCTAGGGACAGTACTGGCAGAAATGAGAGCGGAAGCAAAAATGGAAGATAAAGCGGTTTCGACTGCTTGTCGGCGATGACTGGCGTTGGCTTGAAGGCCCGATAAGCTGGACGCTGTCAAGACACGCGGTCGGCGTTTGACACTGCCCCCGGAAACCGAGGCTGCTGTTTCAGCTGCTGTTGGATCAGGAGGCTGTCCGCTTCTGGTAGATAGGACACTATCCCTCTTCTTGTCTTGATGCTGTTGGTTCGATATTTCAGGCAGCGCTGGTGCCGTAGACGGCAACGGGGCAATCTCGTTGGCAATGTGGGCGAGCATAAAGGTGACGAATGTGAAGGAAACGCTGTGAGCGGGGGAGTACGCGAGTGTCTCTAGAACCCATGCCTGAGTTTCATCCCAGGACAGGGGAGGTGACTTAGTCCGTTCACGCGTAACCATCTGCTGTTCCATTTTCTCCCAAATGGGAGCCGTGACTATTCCATCTCTCAGGGAACGAAGAAAGGCCAACAAGGTCTCACACAGAAGCTCTAATCGATGGAGCGAGGTTACCTCGGGAGCGAAGATAGACCTGAAGTCTTGATTAGTGTCCAAGGCTTCACGGACTGAAGCCAAGTGCCGAGATCGTTGCTCCTTATCCGTCAAGGTCCACGTATCTGGGTCAAATGGCCACCCAGCACCCTGGTCCTTTGCCCATGGGGGCAACTCTTCGTCGAAATCACCTTTTGTCATTCCCCACTCAGCAATGGCACGTTCAGACTGTTCTGAAATAGCCTCAGTCAGGCGGAAAAGCTCACGAGGGGCTGATAGGCGGCCAGTTTCATCATGATCACGCTCTTTTTCTGATTTATCCCTTTTCAACAAGCTTCGCGCACCAGCTTCGGGCATCATGGTAAGTTCTTCCACGCTGCGACCAAAACATGTAGGTAACCACTGCCCATAAGCAGAGATGAAATGATCGCGACCGCCGGTCACCCGAAGGACAAGGATGTCCTCAAGCTTGAGTTGACCCTTGTTCAGCAAACGAACATGTTCGATATCGTGAACATGTGCAGTTATATCAATGTTGGCGAGTTCCCCGGGAAACAGAGTACGCTCGTTCGTTTTCCGTTTCTTATCTTCCTCATGGTGAGTGGGTGCTTCAATTTCGTATTCCAGCCATGATGGTGTCTTCTGTTCACTGCTATGATCGGGCCTCTCAAGTCGGAAAGTAGCGGGCACGCCACTCGTATTTGCCACAGTGAGCGAGCGGGTAATGGGTATATCGAAAGAAACATCACCAAAGTCAACCGCATTCGGATCTGTTGAGGACTTTCTGGGATCCTCTCCGTGTGTATCGACTACGATCGTCAAGCCAGGTCGCGATTCATTCTCGGCCTTGTCTAGCTCCCGTACAACTTCTTGATGTACCTTGGCTTTCAGATAAGGGTCGACAGCTTCATACTTGATCGTAAAACCAGCAGTCAAAGGCTTGTGGTCCGATGATAGAATACCTTGATGTGACACATAATATTCGAGCCGACAGCACTCATCCTTATCAGAGTCGGAAGACACCGAAGCACTGTCGCTCGATTTATCCTTATTTGGGTCGTACTCGTCCCCACTGTCGGCACCATCCACGTCGGGGTCGTAGTCAAATAATACGTTGTCATCAGCAGCTGCCTTATCCAAGCCTCTTGCTTTCATTTCTTCGTCCCGTTTTCTCGACTTCTCGGCTTCTTGAACCAGCTTTTCATGCCTCAGTCTGTCGTGGCGTGTCCGGTATAGAATTCGATCGCACCAACTCGGCCCACGATGCTTCTCGCTAGAGTCGAACCTGGCCACACTCCCTACATCATACTTGTATGTCGGTAAGAAAGTAATGTCCCCTTCTCTCCAACCGTCATGAAAAGCCTTGTTCTTCTTCTGTTGCATACGAAGCTGATCATGGGGCAGCAGAGATGCAATAGTAGTTTGTAGCGAAGACGGGTCCGTATGAGGGTCGATATCCTCGTCGGATAAGGTTGGAAATGATTCTTCCAGTTTGTTATCGTGTTCGACGCCTACCATTGGTGATGATTGCACTTCCCCTTCGACATGGTGTGACGGCATATGTCTCTTGTCATATTCGTTTTCCGTATGCCGAGCGAGGACTTGTCGCACGTCACCTCCCGGAATATCTTCAAGTCTATAGTTCAGGTCACCGAACCAAAATGCGAAATCCTCTCCTCCAATACTATCCCCAGGATCCTCTCTCAAGCCCTTGTCTGGGTCAATGGGGTCAAATTTAGCGCGTCCAACAATCTGAGATGCATCCCAATTGCGCCGTTCCAAGCTACTCTTATCCGAGCCAGCGGAAAGGTGCGAGTTGATAAAAACAAGACAAGTCGTTTCACCGAGCAGCAGGCGCGTTGCTACTGCACCTTTATTGCCCATGTAGCCCAAAAGTCCTGTGCCCACGTTGGTGGAGCTAACCGAAGATATGCTCTCGACAACGGAAGGAGCCGCATAGATCAAAAGCATGAGTCCCACCAGCTGAGTCTCAGAAACGAGCTGAAACCCCTCTGGGAGGGCTTTCTCAAGCGCCGCCTTCCATTTGTTCGATGGTCCTGGATCGACGTATGGCCTCAATGCTTCCGCAGCCGACGAGACATCAACAACCTCTTGTAATCCGAGCACGTAGAGTCCGACCTTCTCCGGTTCGTACGGAGGGAGTTTGAGGAATCCCTTGCGTTTCGGCTGGCCGACCTGAGCATCTTTCGAAGCGTCATCCCCCGGCCCCCAATCGGTCCCATCGGACATATCTCGGGGATCTTGCAGCTTCAGACCAGAGAGCTGTTCGCATATACCCTTTCGTTCTACGAACCATTTTCCAATATCTTCCTCCGTGCCACGGATGGCGGCCACATTCCATGTGCCGACCTTGACGCGCAGCGTTTGCTCGCGGGTATACTCCGACTTTCTCGCCTTGACAGCCTTAGGAAGCGCGAACGGGTCATGACGCTCGTCGGGATGGCGACCGGAGGAGCTGCTGCCACTGTCGCTTTGATACCCACCGGGGATTGCAGACACGGGCGGTTGCGACCCCGACTGATCGGTGTTTGAACTCATGCTGTGAGGATCTGACCGAAACACGGCCCATTATTCGAACGATGGTCTATATATATTCCTTCTGTTCCCCGCATATGATTCAAGGGACCAGGAGTCTGCCTCCGAGAGAGGCTCTATTCCGCCCCGCGAGGCGCAAAGAGAGGTAGGGAAGTAACAGGGGCGTCGCGTGACGGTCTAAGTCATCGGGACTGAATCTTAAATGCGTCTGACTGTCAATCAGGAACCGGCGAATTGTCCCTGCGTCACGAGATGTCTAGCGGGAATGCGGGGGTCTGAATGTGGAGGGGGAGAAGAGGACGACGCGGCGGCGATGGGACGGATGGCGGGAGGAGGTCGATACGAATGACGACAGGCGATGGCAAGAAGGCAAATGAAGCGGTCCTTGGACGGCGGAAATATAATTTTGCCCAAGGAAAGGTCGGCTTATAACACACAATACAAAGATGCTATCTGATGCTGCTTGTCTCCAACACAGCAGAATGGCGCGTAGCATTGATCGGGAATGATTGAAGCGTAGGTGCTCCGCTTGATCTGTTCGCGGGGTCCAGCATTCTTTTATCCTCTCCATCAACGTCACTGATATTCCGCATCCACCAATCTTCTCGTTTAGCTACTTCCACCCCTTCCTCCAGCCATATCTTGAAGTGATATATTCTCAGTCCTCTATTACTACGAGTCAACAGGGGACAACTGTATGAGTATTTCCCTCCACTACACATATTCTCACAATGACGACCCGCAAACCCCGACGATTGAACAATGGCAATGGCAACAATCATCGTCACAATCACCATGGCACGCAACCCTCCGACTATGAATCCGACTACCCAAACTACTTTTCCGACACGCAACAACAGCAAGAACAGCACATGCCTCCCCCGCCGTTACGCTCCAACGAGGAGCTGAACCTCTCTGTCCTCCGCCGCCATAACCCCTCTGTGAACTCGATTCTGTCTCTCGCTCCATACGCAGTGGTTTACTTGTTCAACCCGACCTCCCGACAGTGGGAAAAAAGCGGCGTGGAGGGCTCACTATTTGTCTGTCAACTATCTCAAGGAAAGCTAGGGGAGGAACGATACAGCGTCTTTGTGCTGAACCGACGCGGCCTCAACAACTTTGATATTCTGTTGACGGACGGAGACAACGTGGAGCTTACGGAGGAATATGTCATCATCAAATCCGACTATGACATGGATACAACCCAAGGCATGAACAACAATAATGACTACAATGGTGCCCAGAAGAATGCAAATCCCGCCGACGTCCGTATCTACGGCCTCTGGATCTTCTCCGAGCCACCGCCAAACTCGACAGCCGAAACACGCACAATCAACGCCCATATGATCCGAGAGTGCGCCGTTCATGCAGGCCAGAGTCTGAAGATCGCCCATGAGCGACTAGATGCAGCGCGTCAGAACGGCCTTCATGTTGCTGCTGCTGCCGCTGAGGCTGGCTCCATGGATGAAATGTACTCGAGTGTTCCTATGGGCCGTCAGATCTCCTTGAAGGACCTCTTTGGCCAACAGAGAGCACAGGACGATGAATGGAGTGTTAAGGCGCACAATATTGGTCAACAGCAATGGCAGCAGACACCGATGGAGACGCCGGCGGCGGAACCGCAACCTCGACAGGATGTTCTGGGGGATTTGTTCAGAAGAGCAGGACTGCCCTACCAGGGGAACTCTTAGGCCTCATTTCGGGATACGTATCTATCGTTCTGCTTTCCCCTGATGTCGTTACGCGGCAAATCTGCCAGAGTGATAGAGTTTGTTTATAGAGATACCCAAGTGTCTTCACTGTTCGCTTTGGTGGTAATTGTGACAGAGGCCAAACTGGAGTATCTTTGACCTCTGCTTATTCCGTCATCCCAAAGTTGATGGCATGCAATGTGTTATCTCGTATGGGTATGTACATGCAACGGACCTTTCCTCAAGGTCCGCATGGCTCGAAGCCATGCTGCTGGAAATGATAGACATGATCCCTGATATGAGTCCATGCTCGTGTATCAGATACAGGCAAAGCCCGCTTGCTCATCACTCGTCTTGGTCTATATTAGAGTCATCAAGCCAGACAATAGTTCTGCACCTCGAAGCACCGCCTTTGACCGTCTCAAGCCGACACAATATCCATAATCATATCAGCCACCTTCTCCGCCATAATATCATTATGTCCTGTAGGATCCTTTGTCAGTACCTAGCCTATACCCATAGCCAGAGAAGTAGCAAACCACTCACTTAAGCAAAACGCATGCGGCAGCCCAAGCTCGCAAACCGACATCGTCGGCCCACCTTCTATACGCCCTCGAAGCTCAATAATCTCATCCCTCGTCCGCTCCGCAACCCAATGGTCATTTCGCCCAAAGTAGAAGAACAATCGAGTTAGCGGCTCGTTGGCTGTCGACACACCCCAGACATCATCGCTCCATTTGTCCGAGGTGATGGTCCGCATCTCGTCAGCGGCCATGTGTCTGCACCCGTTAGAAGCTCTCCCAACACTAATATGCAATGAACGGGAAATGGGAACGGGAACGAACAGAGCTTGTCTAACGCCACGTTTGCTCTTGATAAACGCCGCGGTTGTCCCAACCGCACTATCCGGTGGCGACCCCATAACATTCTTGATTAGACCACGCAGCAGAGCGCCTGGAAGTAACGTTGCCAGAACCCGGGCCAGAAAGCCAACGACTAGCGCCAGCTGAGGTATAAAGTAGAGCAATTGCTGCCTCGAATCAGTACTGTAGCAACTACACCGTAAACCAGGGGAGAAACTCACCGTCAACTTCTGCCCAGAAGGCGACTTGGCGATATCCACGACAGTAGGGAAGAGCATGATCCCGCCAACGATATCGAAATCGGCCTTATCAGCTCCAGCTCCAGCTTTAGCATCTGACCTCTCCCGATGTCTCCTCAGAATTTCCATGGCGATATAAGAGCCCACCGAATGACCAACAAGAATAACCTTCTGCTTAGTCTCCGCGCCCGCAAGGAACCCATCAAGCTTCCCCTGGACATAGCAGATCTGGTCCTCAAGATCAAACAAGCGCTTCCCCGCCTCTAGATTCTCGGGCTGGTCGAGCTCGAACCCACCCAGGCTATGTCCATAGATCTGAAACTCAGATGCATGGCTACTGCTCTGAATCTGCGCGCCGCGCGAACCCAGTTTGTCAGCAAGAAGCGACAGGAAGATATGGTAGTATCCGATTAGCCCCGGATTCCCTGAGATCATGAAAATGGTGACCCGGAACGAAGACGGGGTGGAACCCGGCCTGCTCTTCCGCAGGGAAACTGTGTGCAGAAACGTGTCGGGCGTGATGCGCGGCTGGGGTGATGTTGACATCTTCCGGATTGTTGGGCGGTATATTTGCGAGGCGATATACCGGCGAAGCATGAGATATTTAACTGCGCTATTGAATTGATGAATGCGGAATAGTCGCGGTTGACTTCAATGCTGTAGATAGATGGTGTTCCTCGGCTTTAGGACGTATCCACTGAACCATTTGAAATCCGATTTGAGGATGACAACGTTCCAATTGACAATTTGCAATGAGCATCCATAATGACCCAGATAAGCATCATGGGTCCATTGATTCAAGCCAGAACCAAACTAAGCTTGGCTACACTCAGTTCGAGGCCTTGCTTTAAGTGGATGGCCGACTGCGAGCAGCCCATTAACCATTTCCGCCTCAGTATCAGTGATTCTGGGATTCTACATTCACAACATCGGTCGGCATATGGTGAGTCGATCATAAGGGACTAGCCAGTATCGATGTCTTCGGCCATACAACATGATGCTACACTATCCTCATTGGCGATTTTGGCTTGGTAAGAAAATGATCAGGATCGAAGATATATATATGATCATTGCGCAGACAGATATATGCAGTCAATATTTTCCCAGAAAATAAGCACCGACTTGTGCAATAGTTCGTCCATTAATCGTCCTCTAGGATAATTCCTAGTTGTGGAATGAAGCGAGACGAGGTACATAGATGGAAAGACCTCTTGCTGCCGCTTCTCATTCCAAACATACAGAGGGTCATTGCGGCTCGTTCCATCCAGCCCTATTCCCCTCCCAGTACCAATGCTGTAAAGAACCCCAAATGTAGATGAAAAGAAACCCAAAACATCTGGATTTCGATAAAATCCTAAATCGCGCTAATGCAACAGCATTGCAGGTGCTGATATAGTAATTCCGATTTTCAAGCCCCTTGTTCGCCAGCCATGGACAAAATCAACCAGCACACCACGTATGAAACAAACAAAATGTAGAATGCAACACCGTGATATCAAACAGGCAAGCGAAGGGGATATAATAGATCGACTCATATCGGAAAGACATGATTGCGAGAAGAGGCTGTGGTATGAAAAGCCAGAAACCATCAACATCAACAAAAAAGTTGATACACAACGTCTAAGAATACCAGAACTGGAAGAATGTGTAAAATGGGATCAAAACGATACAACAGACCGTCACAGTCAGATGTTGGTTTTTGAAGGTCAAAAAGCGCAAAATGATGATCGCATCATCTGGTATCTCTAAGGCGAGGACACTTGAAGTCAAACAGAGAGAATGATCCCGTAGCCTGAACAAGCACAAGAGCAGTATTCAGGTCGAATATTGCTCACACGATAATAGCAGCCGAACATGAGAACAAGAGAAGAAGTCATCAAGCCTCTTCTTTCACCCTGTCAACTAGGTTTTCTTTCTCATTGCTCGTATGACTTGAGGTCGAATCGTTCGACTCAGTTTCTGATGTAGCTGGCTTGACTGCGGGACCGAGGTTGATAGCGATTCGTTTAGGCGCTGCGCCACCCAAACCACCCGAAACATTCTGAGTTGATCCCTTTTCGGCAGTAGAAAGAGTCCCAATTGACATGCCTCGCTTTCTCCGTAGAAGACCTGCACTGCCAGAGCTGCTGCTCGTAGAGCTCCTCCTTTTTGGCCCTGAGGTTAGCTTGACCAATTCATCGTCATCCTCCTCTTCGCGCCGACGCTTCTCTGATAGGCGTTCCGGAGGAGTCTTGCTTAGAGAAACCGGAGTAGACTGCGTCTCCAACGAGATATCGGCAGTCGCATCCTCTTCCTGTGGTGTTGGCTGCGCCTGGAATTCGTCGGCTTCCGGCTTTGTGTCCATGGCATTCTCATCTTCATCATCGTCTGGATAATCAACCAAGGGTTTCACTACTGGCGAAGCTGCACCATTCTGCGCGTTGACAACGACAGCACCATGAACACGATTCTCTTGCTGCCACTGAGAATTAGAAGTCAGCGAGTGGAAGATTTCTGTACTACTGGGCGCATCTTACCTCATCTTCGTCATCGGATGTGTTGAAGTATTCCTCTTCAGCAGCATCCATCTCCTTGACCCCTTGCCAGCGTTGGCCATTCGCCTGTAATTTTCGCGCTTCCTCTTCTTGTGAAAAAAGAGTTGAGTCCGCCTCTGCTCCATAGCCTTGCATCTGCTCGTAGCGCAGAATCAGATTCTGAAAGGTGTCAACATAAGTGATATCCTTGATCTTCTCACGGTATTTTTCAACAATGTGAAGAACAATGGGTTTGATATTCTCTCGTTTGATGAACTCAAAGAGCTCAAGGCATGCTGAGTTGAGGAGGTTGTCGCGAGGCATGGTTTCGTAGACAATGTCTAGGATCAGCCCAAAAGTGTTGTTGTGCGTCATTAACGCCTGATAGAATGTGTCTTGCAGGCTGACCAAGGTGCGGAAGAACTTCAAAGCGGCTGACGGGGCACGACGTCAGAGATCCGAAGTAAAGCCTGCAGGATTGGGATATGGACTCACTTAATTTGAGGTGTTTCTGAGGAACTCCAAGTAACTGGGCGATTCGGGGCGCAAGGCCCTCGTTATGAATGACATTACGGCTTCGATAGAGATGTTGACGGACGAAGAATGTGAGGATATCAACCAGATGTGAATATAGGGCTACTTCTTGAAACGTGAGATCGTTAACTGCGAAGTCGTTGTAGCAGTTAGTATCGTTCGAGCATAATGGCCAATCAATGCACGCAGTACTTACAGTCGGCGCGATTCTCAAGCCGTCTGAGGGGAAGAAAGAGTCTTCTAGCGGATTCATCAAAGTGATTCTGCATGAACGCATCCGAGAGAATATTAGGACGAAATTTCGAGAAATATTCGGGACCAGCCCGACCCATGGCATCCTGCAAAGGAATTTGAGGATCCAATAGAACTTTGATCGCATCTGCGAGCTGATTCTTCACACCAAGGTCAGATTCGGCATGCAGGAGATCGATCAGAGTATCGGTAAGGGGTGTTTTCTTTTCGTTGACGGCCTTGAGCATATATCCGCGCATCATGATTGGATCGTGATCAAGCAGAGCTACAAGGAGATCGACTCCTGTAGTGCGCATGGCTGGGTTAAGATGTTTGATGGCAAAGGCAATGACGGCGAAAAGGCCGTGATTGATGAAGTTCGCAAACAGATTGGCGCGCGCGGGAGCCTGTAGATTCTTCGCGATTCCAGCGCACTGGTGAAGGAATTGCACAGCATCATCTTTGCGCTTCAAATCTGTATTCCGAGGGTCAAAAACCGAGAAGAGTTCTTTCAAGAAGGGTCCATTCGACTGAATGTGATTCACTATCTCCACCTGATTGAAGAAAATCAGAGAGTTGAGGACAGAGAATGTCGGGTCATCCAGTATTCGAGCCAACACAACATCTTTCAGGTATTGTAGGCGCCATGTGTAGCGGATCTTGCGGCGAATGATGGGATCCTTTATGGGAACGACTTCCTTGTAACGGCTCTGATCTGCGAGATATTGACGATGATTGGCTTTGTGGGTAGGAAATTCGGGATCGTCTGAGATGAATTAGCCATATACCTCCCGCGAGAAACGACTAAGACAGAGGGGCCGATTATCACACACATTCCAATGCCCCGACCACTCCCAGAATAATATCATCGGTAACGACTGTCTCAATAATAGTGTTGTCATTGAGGAGAATAAGCGATTTCATTATGTTGCAAAGTCGATGCAAATCCGGAAGGCTCTCTAGATCCTCTGCGACAGTGACTAAAGGTATTAGTTTCGGAATATACTCGTCTCTAATGACAAATTTTGACAGCGCGTCGCGACCGGCTTGAGTGACGCTGGCTGCCCTCATGATGTGATCGATTTCCGGAAGATTCCCAAGCTCAGGCGGAGGTAGCATGATTGACTGATAGCTCTCGAGGTCGTCGGATAAGGCATCGTCTAGTAACGGACGTAATCAGTTCTACCGGTCACACAGGGATCTGCCACGATGACCTGGAAGCAACGGGGACGGATATCAACTAACCTGCTGCTGCCAAGCTGTGTAGGTGTTGTTGGACATTATTCACAAAATTCCTTGGTAACTTGTCAGCGACAAAGCTGAGAGGTGGGCGTCGACAGAACGCCTTACCATATAGCCGCGCAGCCGTCCGCTTCCTGAAAACTCAATGCCATGTCCGTTCCATTAGGCTCTGTCCATACGATAAGGGTCTCTGTTCGGAGCGCACAAGCGTTAGCCTCTGAATTCTCGGTTCATGATGCGATATGATGAGGGCCGCGAGGCAGGTTGACCTTGCTGCTTCTGATAGCCATCGTCCTTCGTGATTCTCGTCTCGAGGAGCACCCGATCGGGCTCATCCTCCGACTGAACGAATATTCGCGGTTCATCCTACAGAGCGTAGATGCCATGTTAGTCATAGAAAAATGAAAATCTTCAGCGCGAGGTCAACCGCAGCTTTCGCGCCGACAATGGGCGACGTCTTTGCGCTGACTGGGAAAGCGGCAACAGAGACTTACGTCGAGAATCTGTCCCATACAGAACCCAGTCCCTCGGTCAAACCAGTCATTATCCCTCAGCTCGTAGACCTTGACCCGCTTACGATCGTTGGGTGGTTGTAAGTCCGACGCCATGGTGTGGCAGAAAGGAGAGGTGGCGTCTCTTCAAACCGGAACAACTCAAAGAAACGAGTGTACCGGCGCGAGAACCGCCACGGGGGAGTGGAAAGAAAGGGCAGCCGCTGCCTTGTCCAGGGTTGAACGAGGACTGCGCGTGGACGAGCGACAGAAAGAGTATTATTTCTGAGGGGGAAATAAGGATCGGAAATGATATCAACAGGCGACGATAACGATGTTTGATGCTGTGCTGCGGATGATGATGATCCTGAGTTGGGGACGGACCACCTGACGGCCTCGGCAGCGGTCGGCGGACGCTGGGATTTTTTCTTCCACTTCTCACTTTGGGTTCGGCGAGCGCGCAGAAAAGCGACAGACACGCGACCGTAGAGACTGAGAATACTAAGGCGGGCTCTTATCTCCTCGTGCCGCGAACCAGTGAGATTTCCGCTGAATAGCGGTGGTAGGAAGTCAGGCCTTAAGGTAAGGTAGTGAAGCCGATGAAGTGCTACTCTGAAGTACACGATGAACGAGCAGTGGACAATAGGTGGATAAAGCTGGCTGAAGCCTTCTGGAATCCTACTTGGTTCGGATGCGGGAACGCAAGGTAACTAGACAGAAAGATAGGTAGATACCATATAGGGATCTGCAAGAGAGCGGGCACAGGGAGGTAAAAAAAAAGGTTTGGTTGGGATGACGTGCCCTCACGTCAATAACAGGGGTCTCTCTCCTGTCATTTCTTGTAGTAAGGAGGTGTTCTATCATTTATCTAGGAGCCGAAGATGTCACTAATACTAAAAATAAATCCAAGGAATTAAGATGATCATGAAAACACATAAACTACTACGAATCCTTCTATCTAATAGATGCAGTTCTCAGGTACCGGAGGATCGGTCAAACGTGTCATGGTAGTCACAACTAGGACATCTGAGCGAGTCAGTGCCTCAGGGGTAGTACGAGCGAGTAGTAAAATGTACGATCGATTCATCTGAAACAAGGCTTTAAGGGTAATCAAGTCGACCTCACTAAAAGAAGCTCTAGAAGAAGCTCTACAGGGGGGATGGGTCAGGCTTGGGGCCGCCTAAGGTAGAGGGCTCGGAAGGAAAGAAGCTTAATGGGCGTTCTTTCCTTGTGACTTGCGAGGTGACTTAAAGTTCCTGGAAACCATAGGGTAATAGACTAATAGGTACACCCTTTCCCCACGTTATCCATGGTACGTAAGTTCGACGTTCAAACTCTTCACGAATGCTCCATCCTTAGTAAGGATGCCACATGTAATCGCATTCCCGATATCTGATGTGCATCTGTTCTGCCATACCGACGATGGGCATGTACCATCTTGGACGAGATACCTAACTTCGACGAGCCAATCCAACACAGTCACATGGCTTCATGAGATTTAGGGAGTCAAGTGCCTGAGCAGGATGGACTCCTAATTGCCGACAGTCATTGACGAGGGTCGTGCAGGCTGCCGAAGCTTCTCTTTGCGTATATTATACCCAAAGAGTTTCAACTGACATTTTCGTCAAAAGATCACGCCCTCTTTGTATTTTGGGACATATCGTTCGATATGTCCCTTCAGTCACCTGAATTAAAACATGATCTACTTCCGTATATCTCTCTGGAGCACAGTAAGAAACTTGGGCTAAATTCATGCCTCAGGCAGATATATCAAGTCAAGTGACTATAACTAGAAAGTCTGGACAGGTGCGGCGATAACCGATGTTCGCCTTTGCTAACAGCTCGACAGGGTACATGAAACAGTCGTCAAATTGACGGTGGCTTTTCACAGCAATTACATCCTTGCTGATACTGCAGGCAATAATTCGACAACTCCGCAATCTGCATTGCTGGATTGACATCCTCTTCAAGTACCACCCCCAGTCCACCTCCATCTGATGGGTCTGAGCGTTCTGCTAACCTTATCGTCCATGCCCCATCATCAAAATGTCTTAGGGCCGTCATTTAGTATGCTTAGCAGCTGTGGAATCGGTTGCCGCCTTATGATGATTGGCTTTTGCAGGGGTGGCCTTGGGCAGAACCTGCCCACCTGCTGACATAAACAGATGCAAGGTGCCAGTAGGACGCTGTCTGATTGGTTCATAGCCCACACGAGGTCGAGACCTTTCTTATCGAATATTGACGGCGTTCCCGTAGTGAAAATTACCGCATTAGGAAAAGTCGACTCCGCTTCACCTCTGCCCACTTTTCTTTTTCCTCGGCGCAGGTTTCTGATTTTCTCCTCTTCAGTCCTGTGCAGACTTTGTCTTCAACTCTTCTGAGTAGAGGCCTCCTCTTACGACCCAAGGCGAGCGACTTCTGGGAGTTTTGCGTTCGTTCAGGTCAAAAAGCTCCCTCCATTAACAACCCTGCTTCTTCTGCAACTCTCTTGATCGCATCATTCAAGTTTCTTGTCTTAACGAGCATCTGCTGTGTCTAAGCCTGCTTTTTGTAAATACAGTTCAGACTCGCAATGTCGGATACCAAACACCCTGTGGGAGTGCAGACCACGTCTGCGTCTCCTGACGTCATCACGTCTCCATACTTCGAGCCTCCCAAGCAGAACGATCCAGTGATTGTCAACGAGAATACGCGGGAGGAAGACTCTGGCTCTGAAGCCGTTGCGGATCGTATCGATACGCAAAAGAGGGGATTCTGGGCGTACTTTACAACAAAGGAGTTCTATATCACGCTGATACTTGGGTAAGACTCATTGCAAGTGCCTGCGAATTCGCGACAAACCTCTGACACTAGACTTATAGGCAAGTGCTGGCCATAACAAATACTGCCACAAGTACTTTCAGCACCCTTCTTAGTCAGGAGGGTACCTCGATTCCGGCTTTTCAGTCTTTCTTCAATTACGTTTTGCTCAACCTCATATTTACACCTTACACAATTTACCGTTATGGTTTCAAGGGCTGGCTCCGCTTGATGTGGCGTGACGGCTGGAAATGTGAGATAGCCCTCTTCTTTCTACTTCCTTCAGTCACTGTGATTAGACCGTTGCTGTGTAGTGCAACATCAATGCTGACTTGTATGATTTGAAACAGACATTATCTTGGCTTTTTGTGATGTCGAGGGCAATTACTTCATTGTGCTGGCATACCGTTATACGACAATGCTTAGCGCCCAGTTGATCAACTTCTGGGCCATCGCCGTCGTCGTTTTTATCTCTTTCCTCTTCTTGCGCGTGCGGTATCATATTACACAGATTCTCGGTATTTTGATCTGTATCGGTGGGATGGGTGTCTTGATTGCATCCGATCATATCACGGGCTCAAACGGAGGCGATATTTCCAGCGGCAACCAGATCAAAGGTGACCTCTTTGCGTTGTTGGGTGCGAGCTTCTACGGTCTCACCAACACCGGAGAGGAATACTTCGTCAGCAGCCGCCCCGTGTACGAAGTGCTTGGTCAGATGGCCTTCTTCGGTATGATCATCAACGGCGTCCAGGCCGGTATTTTCGACCGTCACTCTTTCCAGATCGCTGTCTGGAACAGCAGAGTCGGTAGCTATTTCACCGGATACACCCTCTGTCTCGCTTTCTTCTACTGCATGGCCCCTCTCTTGTTCCGCCTGTCGTCCGCGGCCTTTTTCAACATCTCCTTGCTGACCATGAATTTCTGGGGCGTCTGCATCGGCATCGAGGTCTTCCACTACCACATCCATTGGATGTACCCGATCGCATTCGTCCTCATCATTGTCGGCCAGCTCATCTACTTCCTCGGAAAGCGAGTCCTGGGCGAATCCCGCAAGCCCTGGCTCGGCAAGAACCAGGAACGTGGCTTTGCGGGGCTCTTCACGGCGAAGGCGAAGATCGACTCTGTCCGCGCTACTTTGGCTTCTAACAATAATCATAATGCTAATGCTGATGATGCCCACCATGATGACCGCACTGCGGCTGCGATTGATGAGCGTCACTCGAATGCCGTTTGATCATGGCTTTACGAGAATGTTGTTGTTTGTTCCCGTCCAATTCCGTGCACATAACGATGCCCTGAGACATGGGCATTTTCGTCGGCGCAAAAGTTTCCTTTGGTCTCATTCCGTGTGCATGATCCTACTTAATACATAGTCTCACACTAGAATAGATCTACTCTCCACTGGAGATTGAGTACTCCTTGAGTTCTGAACTTTTACCATGCTCATTTTATTAGATCTAGCATGAACGAGGCCACTCCTCAAAAGTGCATCAACAACCTCTTTTGCATAAACAGTGAGGATGTAGGTCGTTTGTGGCTCAGAATGGATAACTCAATGAAGTAGGTAGAAAGTTCCAATGCAACGAAGACGGGTACATAAGAAACACAAACATTGCCAGGAAACATTACATTCAGAACCTACTCCCGTAAACATTTTCCTAAAGACAGACTGGCCAGCTTCACACCATCCCTTTTCCGAAGGCCCAAGCCGAGAAGCCCAAAGAAACGGGTAGACAACAAAGAATTAGGCCATTAGGTAACCCCCCCACCCCAGTTATTTGAAATTAAAAAGATCAAACCTCGACCAAACTCGCAACCGAAACCCGACAATGGAATGGAACACCTGGAAACCCCCCGTAATAAGAGCCGAGATAAGAGTCCCATGGAATACACCCACAAACATGCAAATTCACTCCCCGTCCCAAGAACTGCGGAGACCCAAAACAAGATGAATCAATGGGGAAGGAGACATATGCAACACCAAATGGAGGCAAATCACAAACAAAAAGAGGTCATGGTAACAGACTGAAGACCACAGGATGCAAACACAATCAAACGGGGATATACCGACTCCCGAAACCAACAGGCCAACCAAGTCCCTTAGTCAGTAAACAAACCATGTACCAAATTAACTGTCCACATATGGATTGAACGAAGTGAGCGCTAGACAAGAGTTGCTCCAGCCACTTCTTCCGAATATGTACCATGCTCTGTCCCAATATTTCGAGAAAATAAATAGGACATAAAAAAAAAAGGGAAACCAACCTAAGAACGCCACGATACCACTGAACAGATGTCGAACAAATGCATGGCTA